GCCTGCTCAGCTGGAGCCTCTGCCCCCTGATCAGCTAGAGCCTCTGCCTCCTGCTCAGCTGGAGCCTCTGCCCCCTGGTCAGCTGGAGCCTCTGCCCCCTGCTCAGCTGGAACCTCTGCCTCCTGATCAGCTAGAGCCTCTGCTGCCTGATCAGCTGGAGCCTCTGCCTCCTGGTCAGCTAGAGCCTCTGCTGCCTGATCAGCTGGAGCCTCTGCCTCCTGGTCAGCTGGCACCCCTGCTCTCTGAATGTCTGCAGCCCCTGCCCCTTGGTCAACTGGAGCCTCTGCCCTCAGGTTATCTACAGCCTCTGCCCCTTGATCTGCTGGGGCCTCTGCCCCCTGGTTATGTACCCCCTCTGCCCTCTGGTCAGCTGGTATGTCTTCCCCAGGAGCTGGGGATGCTGCCTCCCCCTTCCGACGACGTCTGAAGGAGGCCCAGTTGATCTTGGGCCTCCATCGTCTGGAGGAGGTGGCCAGCGCGCTCCTGTCTCCTGCGTTTCCCATGTTGTGCCCGGGGCTGGCACTGTGGCTGGGCCCTGACGCCCCATCTCTCTCCGCGGGGGCGGAGGCTTGTGGGGCCTCCCGGACCTCGGGGCCAGATCTGGGAGCCCAACCCTTCACCCTTCGTTTCAGCTTCCCCCAGGACACCTGGCTGACGTACTCTCGCCACCTGTCTGCCTTGGACTGTGGGGGCCCCGGGTTGTTCTCGAACATGGGTACTGGCAGGTTGACCCTGCGGCGCACGGGCGGGGCGCTGGGCTTCTTCTCCCTGCGCCGGAGGAAGGCCTCCACCAGCTCCTCGTCGTCCTCGCTCTCCAGGTCGCTGCCCAGGAACTTGCTGCCCAAGTAGCTGACGGGCATTTTGCGCACCTTCCTGCGGCTGCGCGGGCCTTTGCCGCCCTTGGCTCTGGAGGTCTCGAAGTCGCTGAAGTCGCTGTCGCTGGCGTTGCTGCTGTCGAACGTGCCCACGACCAGCCGAGGCGGAGGAGGGACCATCTGTGGGACTCTCCTCCTCACCTGGGGCTCCTTGGGCTTCTTGGGGGGCTGAGGCGGGTGTGGGGTGCTCTTCTCGATGATGCGGGCCACGTCCTCCAGGGTGCGGCCCTCTTCCTCCAGAAACTGAATCAGCCGCTCCCGAAATTCCGCTTCCTTGGTGGCGGGCTTGGAGATGACCCTCCACACGCCCCCCGCCAGCCTGACCTCGCGGGGGATGAGCAGATAGTCCACGTCCTCCCCGATCTGCAGCATGCCCACCGTGGAGTCCGCCTCCTTGCGGAACACCTTGCCGATCTTCTTAAAGGTGCCCACGGGCTTCAGGGCTTCCACGAGGACGTCCAGATCCACATCTTTGCAGACATCGGGGACGCTCCAGAGGATGAGGCAGTCGGGGGACGGGAGGAAGCCCCAGGGGAACCAGCCCCCGATGTGGCTCTTCTCCAGCGTCTTTAAGATCTCCAGGGTGATATCTGGGGTGGGGGGCCAGGAGCCCAAACAGACGACGGGAAGCCCCTAGTCTAGGGGGAAGCGGGGCGGAGGGTCCCGGCAACGCTGCCCGGAGGGTCTCACCTCCCCTCTCCTTCCAAAGTCCCCTCCTGCAACAAGCCCAGTGGTGACCAAGTCGGGCTCCCCACAAAGGGCTGGCGGGTATCGAGTCCCAGGATGCTTATGTGAGCCGGGGTGAGGTCAGTCCCGAGGCTCGAGGCCCGCTCGGAGATGTAACGTGGTGTCCCGACTCCAAGTTGGCGCGCGAGGGCTGCGAGTCCTCCCCGCCCTGGCACCCGGGACGCGGCAGGGACTTGGGAGAGGTCTTCGCAGACAAAGACGGCTCGGCGTGGCTGTTCAATATGGCCGAGGAGCTAGGAGGCCTCAGCCCAGCCCCCAGGAGGGTCTCCCGCCCCCAGGCAGGCGGCCACCCGCTCCAAGCTGACCTTGACGCGCTCAGGCGGTGCGGTGCAGCGCACGGGCAGGAAGTTCCCCGGCGCCCTGCCCCTGGTGAGGCCCACCTTCCCTTCTCAGCTTACACTCCGGGACTGGGAAGACTGACAGGGGGGCTGTCCACTCCCTTCGGGGCAGCCCTCCCCCCAGGGGTGTGGCTGCGCCCCGGGCCTCGCTGCGGCGGTGGCTTCTTAGCTAAAGGGCGGCGCAGGCCCACGTCAGCACCTTTCCCCGAAGCCAGCGGTCCCCAAAGCTACCTTCCTAAATGTGCAGGTTTCAGACAAGCCCGGAGGTAGGACGTTAATGGAGCCGATCATCTGAGAGCCACTGGCGCCTTCGATTACAATTTAAAACCCGGCGAACTGTTGGTACCCGCAATTCCTACCCGCACACCCATACTTGAGGCTAGAGAAGTCCGTGCCAGGTCTTGTGGTACCACTCCCTAGAGGGGTGGTTGGCACACAGTCTGTGCTCAATAAGTATGAGTGAATGGATGAACCTAAATGGTCATCGGAGGGGACTGATGACATTTTATGGCCTAACCTGATAATGAAGTTCTATGCGCCTCCGAAAACTGCAGCGGCTAAGGCCTCGCAAGATTTAGGGAACCGCTGTGCTAGGCGCCATTCGAAGTGCTTTCTGTGAATTAACTCATCAAATCCGCACGAAGAGACAGAAGTCCCATTTTACAATTGGAGAAACGGAGCCCCCCTCCCCCAAATAAAATCACTTGCTCAAGGTCACACAGCCAGCCCCGAAGCCGTTGAGGTCTGGGTGTGAAAGCAGAACGGTTTTGACTTTTGTGTGGAGGTCAAGCAGTCCAGATGTGTCTGTACGCTGGTCACAGGGCGCGGACTCCCCAGAGAAGTTTCTGGGGAGAGAGACCCCCCCCCCCCCAGCAGATAGGCTCCAGAGTCAGGAGAGAGTGTATATTTCATTTCACACGTTTTTAGATTGCTTGGACTTTTAGCAATCACAAACGTTAATTAAAATAAGTTAAATAAAAGAGAAGGCCCCCAGGCCCCACCGCGGCAGACTGGGTCAGAATTCCTGGGCCGCAGGGAGCAGGCTGCTACTAATGTCGGTTGCAGGGAAGCAGCGAGCCCCTGAGCTGTGCTGCGCCTGTGGGTACAACCCTCGCAGCACCCTGGGGAGGTGGGTGGGCACCATCGCTACCATTTTCTTACAGATGGGAGATGAGGCTGGCCTGAAGACAGCTCTAAGTGGGGGCCTGGGCACTGAGCCAGGTCTCAGGTGCTGGAATAAACACCAGGCCGCTGCAGGAGCAGCTAAGCTACTCCAGGCCTCCTTCCAGGGTTGGCTGCTTAACCCCAGAACAGCCACAGCCTATGAAGCAGCTGTCAGATGTGTCTCTGCTGGAAAACCCTCCATCTCTTTCAGAGTGAAATCAAAGCTCTCACTGCAGTCCAGGATACCTACAGCCTTGGCCCTGCTTCTCCTCTCCTGTGGGCTTCTCCCTCCACTCCAGCTGATGGCCTCTTTGCTGTTTCCTTGGCAGAGTGGGCTTGTTTCAGCCTCAGGGCCTTTGCACATGCTCTCCCTCCTCACAGAAAGTTCTGGCCCAGCCTACTCTTGGCAATCTCCCTCACCCTACTCTCCGTTTCTCAGGGGTCTTTCAGCATCCTCCCATCACGACCACCACCACAAACACCTCTGCTGGCAACTACCATCTCCAGGTCTCCGGGACCCTGTTCAGAGCAAAGTCTTTCAACGCATAGAAATGCATCCACTGGATGACCAAGGAAGCCAATTTACAGTGAAATGCGGAGTAAAAAGTGATTTTAAACGACACAAAAGCCAGGTGCACTAATGACTTTGATAACAGTATAGAAACGATCCGGTGTGATTTTATTTCACTAATGGCGTGTGATTTTATTTAACTCAGAAACCAGGTAGATAGTTAGAGAAAGAGGGCGAGGGGGGAAGCGGGCAGATGCGCGGGGTGGGGTTTAGGGCCTCGGAGGGGCCTTTGCAGTTATTGGCTCCGCGGGTTGTTTTTGCTCTTGCAGAGCCTGGACCTTGGGCTCCGCTGCTTTTCCTCCTCCCGCGGCCACGCCCCTCCAGCCTGATCCCCTCCCCGCGGACTAGGGGTCTCCATGGCAACCAGGAACGCTGAGGGGCCAAGGTGGAGGACTCAGGGAGAGCCTGTCCCCTCAAGCCTTCCTGAGGCCCCCTTCCCAAGCCAGCTCCCCTGAAAACCTGTTTTGTAGGGGCCCAAATCCAAAACTCCTGGGAAGACCCGGGTGTCGAGAAAGGTGAC